CAACTCCCCCAAGCTTAGACCTCGCTTATCCTCAAGCGAAAGCCGAAATCGAAAAATATGTCCACATGTTTAGTGATAGAGGTGTCAATAAAAATAAAATACGAACATGAGGGCATCATGATCATTCTTAGAACAGCAACTTATATAATTATTGTCATATGATCTCTTATGCTAGAGTAACAATTCAATCACAATTTCATGTATGAATCATAAACTTCATTGAAAACTAACAAACTATAATCTCAGTCATTGAAGCAATTGCAATTTATCATAACATAGGAAAGAGTCAATATAAGAGCTTTTTAGCAAGTCCACATACTCAACCATCTTTTAGTCTTTCACAATTGCTAACACTCACGCAATATTTATGGGTATGAAGTCTTAATCGGACACAGAGAAAGATAGGGGCTTATAGTTTTGCCTCCCAACGTTTTACCTCAAGGGTAATGTCAACAATAATAGTTCATGAAAACTCACATCCAATTAGCCATATATACCAGGAGATCTTTCCAACATATTGTTCTTGCCAAAAGATAAAATGTAAAAAGGAAAGGTGAAGATCACCATGACTCTTATGTAAGGTGGGAGATAAAAGTAAAAGATAGGCCCTTCGTAGAGGGAAGCAGAGGTTGTCATGCGCTTTTATGGTTGGATGCACAAAATCTTAATGCGAAAGAATGTCACTTTATATTGCCACTTGTGATATGCACCTTTATTATGCAGTCTGTCGCTTTTATTTCTTCCACATCACAAGATAGTATAAAGCTTATTTTCTCCCACACTAATAAGTCATACATATTTAGAGAGCAATTTTTATTTCTTGCACCGCTAACAACTTACTTGAAGGCTCTTACTCAATCCATAGGTAGATATGGTGGACTCTCATGGCAAAACTGGGTTTAAGTGTATTTGGAAGCACAAGTAGTATCTCTACTTGGTGCAAAGAGTTTAGCTAGCATGAGGGGGAAAGGCAAGCTCAACCATGTTGGATGATCCATGGCAATATAATTTATCTTAGATGTAAGAAAACATAACCCATTACGTTGTCTTCCTTGTCCAACGTCAACTCTTTAGCATATCATATTTTAATGAGTGCTCACAATCATAAAAGATGTCCAAGATAGTATATTTTTACGTGAAGACCTCTCTTTCTTTATTACTTCCTATTAATTGCAACGATGACCAAAACTATGTTTATCAACTCTTAACAACTTTTATTCATCATAATCTTTATATGTGAGCTCATTACTCTCCATAAGATCCATATGATCTCTTTTATTCTTTTTATTTCTTCTCTTTTATTTTATTCCCTCAAGGTCATAGAAAAATCATCAAGCCCGTGACTCAACACTAATCTTTATTATATAGCTCACGGACTCGATTACATAGAGGGATCATAAAGCAAAACTCAAAACTAAATCATACTAAAAACTTTTATTCTACTAGATCAAAATATTATCAAAAGTATTGAACTAAGAAAAATGGTAAAGATGAAGGTGATGGTGATACGATACCGGGGCACCTCCCCCAAGCTTGGCAGTTGCCAAGGGGAGTGCCCATACCCATGTGATTATGTCTCCTTTTTTGGGGATGGTGATGTGATATTCTTGGCGATGATGCCCCTCAAGATACGATTCTCCTCCTCGAGCTTATTGACTTGCTGCTTGAGGTCCATTATTTCCTTTCGAAGCTTTCCTGTAACAGCCAAAGCTCCTTGCACCCAAGGGTGTTGCATAGCTGCGGGAGAACAAGTGACACTCTTTTTCATATTTTCATAAGAAAGAAATCTAACATTGGAAGGGATAACCGAGTTTGGGATAGCCGAGCTCTGTAGCTCCCCCATTGTGAATCCAGCTCGGAACCGAGAAGTGACTTCTTGATCCTCCTCCATGGCATCTATCCTCTTCAAATCAGCCTCCATCTCTTCCTCTGTTGCTGGCCAAAGTTGTCAGCATTGCTGTTTGTCCTTGATCTCGATGCCGGATGAGACTCCCGACTCTCCCCGACTGACTCTTGCGAAGACATCTTGCTCTAATCTACAGCAGCAACAACTCAAAAAACAAACAGAGGATAATTGCGTGATACGGGAGTCAAATCCTTCGGGAGATTATATAATGAATTTTTATCAACCAAAATACGTAACGTGCAAGAAAACGGAGTCCGGAGAGCGCACGAGGTGCCCACGAGGTAGGGGGGAGCGCCCTCCACCCTCATGGAGCCCTCGTGTGCTTCCCGGTCTGCTTCTTATTTTTCTATTTTTCTAAATATTCCAAAACGGAGAAAAATTGCCATTAGAACTATTTTGGAGTCGGTTTACTTAGGATGTGTTTGGTAGCCTGCATAAGCCTGTATGTTCCCTACTCGACCCACTTTTCGTTGTTTGGTAGCCTGTGCGGGGTCTCCTCAGCTATGCTCTGCTCACCCCGAATACCCTCGTAGCCACGCTCAGGAGAGAACATGTGAAAGGAGGTTCGCTGGTCAGCATGCATGGGTCGAACCCACGAAAAAAGCTGAGCCCAACCCACCGGTTCCCATCTGGACCCACTAACGCTAGGGTTACCCCAACTCTCCTGACTCCCCAGCGATCACGTTCTCTCCTTGCCGCCTCGTCATCTTCTGGTCGCCGCGCGCCGCCGCTACTCCAACTCGCCATCGCCATCGCCTAGCAAGGTATTCCCTCGTACCTCTTGTTCCTCGTTCTACTGTCCTCCCTCCCGTTCCTACTCCTTCCTCAATCTTCCACCCTCCTTATTATAATCATCTAGCACGTAATGAGAAATAGATGGACCTTGAGAGAGAAAGTAGATTAGAAGATGTCTGCGTTTGATGTTTGAAGAAAAAAAACTATCCTCTCTTTTGTTTGTCCTTTGATTTTTGGTGCTGGATGCCCAGGTTGCATCTGCATTGTTCTTTTTGATTGAAAAGAATGATCTTTGACATATACGATAGATGTAGTTGATTTGCTAGATGGCTTTTCCTAGTACGTCATGATTGCTAGATGTCCAGGTTGCATCGGCATACTCTTTTACTAATAACAGATTGATCTTTTAAATACAGTAGATGTCCAAGTTGTTTTGCTAGATGTCTTTTCCTAGTACGACATGACTGCTAGATGCCCAGGTTGTATCATTTGAGAGAGATGGTGCTAGTTTATATAGCACTGATTTATTTTTTCTAAACGCAGATCATGTTTCCCATTCATCACAGTTTGTGTTGATTTTCTTATTTGTTATTTGTTTGTGAATCGTGCTTATTTTTTAATTGGTATAATTTGCAAGATATCACATTTTTTTCTTTATCTACCATTTTTTCTTCAAACATGGAACACTCATGTATTTCTATTTGTTTAGATGGATGACTTGGCTAGAAAACAATGCCAACTAATTGTGAGAGGAGCCAGTCTAGTAGCTGCATTGTGTGCTTATCTGACATTTGTGTTAAGAAGAGCTAGGGAACAAACCCCGGGGATAATTGTGGGTATTATGGCTGAACGTGTTGTTGCTAGGGAGTCCAACTTGAGATACATTTATCACTCTAGCGACATAAATTGCTCAAATCAGGTTAGAATGAGAAAAGCTTCCTTTTTCCGTTTGTGTACTTTGTTTAGAGAGAGAGAATTGTTGGTGGATAGCATCCATGCTTCTATTGAGGAACAAGTGGCCATGTTTCTTCTAGTGGTCGGGCACAACCAAAGGTTTAGGACACTACAACCAATCTTTAGAAGATCTATTGAAGTAATTAGTAGGTATTTTAAGGCGGTGCTTTATGCTATTGGAGAGTTGCGAGATGAGATGATTCGGCCTCCCTCCAATCGATGCCACCCTAAAATACAACAAAGCACCCGCTTCAATCCATATTTCAAGGTAAATTATCTTGTTTCCAAATAAGGTCAAAAAATTGATGAGATTTATGAATAACAAATATGTGTCTTCATTAATTAGGATTGTGTTGGAGCAATTGATGGAACTCATGTGCTTGCTAGAGTCCCAAGAAGGATCTCGGCTGCCTTTAGGGGTAGAAAAGAAGGGACTACCCAAAATGTCATGGCCGCGGTAGACTTTGATCTAAAGTTTACCTACGTACTTGCGGGGTGGGAGGGTTCAGCCCATGATGCCCTTATACTTGCAAATGCATTGGAGAGGGATGATGGGTTGAAAGTTCCTACAGGTAATAAACTAGACTCGTAACTAAATACATAAATATTTTTCTCCTGTAGCTAATAGTTGTTGTTTCATAGGGAAATTTTACCTTGTTGATGCGGGGTATGCTGTGAGACCGGGTTTTATTCCACCATACCGTGCCATAATGTACCACTTGAAGGAGTATGGGCGAGGGAATCATCCTCAAAATGAGAAAGAGTTGTTCAACTTAAGACACTCTTCTTTGAGGACATCGGTCGAAAGGGCTTTCGGTGCGTACAAAAATCGGTGGAAGTTTGTTGACAATAAGCCATTTCATCCTTTCAAGAGCCAAGTAAAAGTAGTCATTGCTTGTGCAATTCTCCACAACTGGGTACTTCAATTTGGTGAGGATGAATATTTCCCTCCCGAGGAAACTTGGAACCCGGAACCCACCGACGAAGATCACAATGATATAGTCCATGACAATAATTCTTGGGCTCATAAGAGGGACCAATTAGCAAATCAGATGTGGGCGAATAGGGCGGCGGCACAGATGTATCATGTTGAAACTTGATCTTGTAATCCTAATAATTGAGTTGTAACTCGTGTTGTAATCCCTCTATTTGAATTGAGTGGTGCATTGTGAAACAATTTGTGGATGTTATATTGATGTACTGAAATTTGTTTTTTAATTGCTGGAATGTTTATATTGTAGCGTTGCACTGTTATAACAAAATGTTGAAAAAGTCAAACCTAGGATTTTGAATATGTTACTAATTCCTGGAATATATGTTGTAGATGGATAATGACGTGCAAGAGATTCCGGATCTTGGTGCTAAAGCCAAGAAGGCCCCAAAGGTCATGAATTGGACCCCGCCTATGTCTGCTATCATGTTGAAAGGTCTTGCAGATGTAGCAGAAAAATGTGTTAGGACTGACAAAGGATTCAAGGAGGCCGATAAAATGAAAGTTGCAAAGGCTTTGACTGCTTTTGTTGGTTATGATGTGAGTAACACCCAGGTGCACAATCATCTTCGCAAGTGGCGGACTAGGTGGCAAAGAATTGTTCATCTCCTTGGATTAAGTGGTGCACTTTGGGACGATGACAAGAAAATGATAGTGCTAGAAGAGCAACACTATTTAGGCCACACTCAGCTACGATTGCAATATTTTTAAATGCTCAAATGGTTTACTTCATTGATGAAATGGTGCTGAAACGAGTTACTCTTTGTGCTGAAATTAGTTACTTATGTTGCTTAAATGTTGAAATGTCGTTTTATTTTGTAGGACCATCCAACGGATGCTGAATTACTGAACACACCGCTTGAGCACTACAATTATATGGAACTTTGCTTCGCTGATAAGCTCGCCACTGGGAGGTTTTCAATGGGCTCTGGTGTGCCATTGGGAAAACCTGTTGATGTGGAGGGCAAAGGAAAACCCATTGTTGTGGAGGGGCAAGGAACAAGTGGCGAGGGATTTGTGAATGGTCCTGTTGGGGCTGAGTTCGTATTTGTTGGTGCTAGTGAAACTAATGATCCTTCTCCTAGTACAACTAAGAAGAGGAAGAGGACATCTGTTATGACTGAAGAAGACTCAATCCAGGTTAACAACATGTCTGATGCTGTGCGTGAGATTGCAAGTGCTATCAACAACACATGTCATACCGAAACACACCCTGAGTTGTACAAGGCTGTAATGGACCTTGTTGAGTATGATCTCGCTAAGCGGTTGGCTGTTTTAGATTATCTGACCAAACATAAGGGAAAAGACCTTAATTTTGTGAAGATGGATGAGAAAGTCTGAAAAGCATCGTTCAAGCGTATCTTGGAGAAGAATCCTGATCTTGTTTGAGTTGATGTTAGTTGGTGCTTTTTGAGAACTATCCCTTTAATAAGTTGAATTTGGAATGAGACTATATGTAATATGGATCTAAAGATTTATTGGTTCAACCAAGTTACTTTTCTTAATAACATGGTTCTTAAATAGTTCAACATGTCTGTTGTCGTTCGATGCCACAAGATTTCTTTAAGTGTATTTGTATCTGTGTCACAAAAAATCAAGCACGCATGCTATGCAATTTTGCCTCTATATAAAATACACCTACCAATTTTCACATGTTCATTCTTTTTGTTTGCGAGAAGATGTCGTGTTGATTCACAGATTTTTTTAAGAATGAACAACATTATGTATTTATTATTGAAAATAAATTAACAATTGACGACAAATATATATGTCTAAATATTTTAAGTGGTATTTTTTCTTCATATTTACATATTGTCGAAATGTTGGTCAAATGATGTATGCCGCCAAGAACCCTTTGAATTGTGCACACGGATTTTTATCATGTATTTGTAACTATGGTATCCTAACCATCTCAGATACAGCCTACCAAACAAAGTCTAAGCCCAGCATGTCCTGACAGATACATGCTACCAAACAAAGTCTCAACTCAGCATGTCCGTACACATGCAGGCTACCAAACAACTGCAGTTGTATATACTCAGCATGTCTGTACTTAACATGTCTCAGGGGGGAACACTATGACAGGATCATGCAGGCTACCAAACACATCCTTACCGTACCACGTACCTATTCCTTTTCGGAGTCTGAAACATTCCGGAAAGTGTCCCTTATGTATTCCTCTGGGGTTACGGTTTCAATAATATTGGCTTCAACATTTATAGGATTACCTAAGATATAATGTTTGATTCTTTGATCGTTCACCACCTTCGGATTTGTGCCTTAGAAGTTGTTGATTGTTATGGCACCAGAACAATAGACCTCCTCGATAACGTAAGGACCTTCCCATTTAGAGAGAAGCTTTCTTGCAAAAAATCTTAAACGAGAGTTGTATAGCAATACATAATCACCTACATTAAACTCACGCTTTTGTATTCTTTTGTCATGCCATCTTTGGCATTCTCATAGGCTTGGGTTCTCCATTCATAAAGTGAGCTAATGTCAAATAACCTCTTCTCATCGGCAAGTTTGAAATCATAATTGAGCTCTTTAATGGCCCAATATGCCTTATGTTCTAGCTCAAGAGGTAAATGACATGCTTTACCATAAACCATTTTATACGGAGACTTACCCATAGGATTTTTATATGCAGTTCTATAGGCCCATAACGCATCATCAAGTTTCTTGGACAAATTCTTTCTAGATCTATTAACAGTCTTTTGCAAAATTAATTTGAGTTCTCTATTACTCAATTCTACTTTACCACTAGACTGTGGGTGATAAGGTGATGCAATTCTATGATTAACATCATACTTAGCAAGCATTTTATGGAAAGCATCATGAATAAAATTTGAACCACCATCAGTCATTAAATATCTAGGGACACCAAACCTCGAAAAAATAACTTCTTTAAGCATCTTAATAGAGGTGTTATGAACAGCACTACTAGTTGGAATAGCTTCTACCCACTTAGTAACGTAATCAACAACAACTAAAATATGCGTATATCCATTAGAGGCATGAAAAGGTCCCATATATCAAAGCCCCAAACATCAAATGGTTCAATAACAAGTGAATAATTCATAGGCATTTCTTGACGTCTACTAATATTACCAATTCTTTGACATTCATCACAAGATAAGACAAAATTACAGGCATCCTTGAAGAGAGTAGGCCAATAAAAACCGGATTGCAATACCTTATGTGCAGTTCTATCTCCAGCATGGTGTCCTCCATAAGCCTCGGAGTGACACTTGCGTAGGATCTGTTCCCGTTCATGCTCAGGTACACAACGTCTAATAATACCATCTACTCCTTCTTTATAAAGATGTGGGTCATCCCAAAAGTAATGTCTCAAATCATAGAAGTACTTTTTCTTTGGCTGGTATGTCAAACTAGGTGGTATAAATTTAGCAACAATATAATTAGCACAATCAACATACCATGGAGCAGTTCGAGGAGCATTTATGACATTTAATTGTTCATCAGGAAAGCTATCATCAATAGGTAGTGAGTCATCAAGAACATTCTCTAACCTGGACAAGTTGTCTGCAACATGGTTCTCAGCTCCCTTTCTATCAATAATATGCAAATCAAATTCTTGTAGCAAGAGAACCCATCTAATAAGTCTAGGTTTAGCATCTTTCTTTTCCATAAGATATTTAATAGCAGCATGATCCGTGTGAATAATTACTTTAGAATCAACAATATAAGGTCTGAACTTATCACAAGCAAATACAACTGCTAAGAATTCTTTTTCAGTAGTAGCATAATTTCTCTGGGCATTGTCTAGAGTTTTACTAGCATATTGAATAACATTTAGTTTCTTATCAACTCTTTGCCCTAGAACAGCACCTACAGCATAATCACTAGCATCACACATAATTTCAAAAGGTAAATTCCAATTAGGTGGCTGAATGATAGATGCAGAGATTAATGCTTTCTTAAATGTTTCAAATGCTTCTACACAGTCATCATCAAAGACGAATGGTATATCTTTTTGTAATAAATTAGTCAGAGGCCGAGAAATTTTTGAGAAGTCCTTCATGAACCTCCTATAAAAGCCGGCATGACCAAGGAAACTTCTTATACCTTTGATGTCCTTGGGACACGGCATCTTTTCAATAGCATCAACTTTAGCTTTATCAACTTCAATGCCCCTTTCAGAAATTTTGTGCCCCAAGACAATACCTTCATTAACCATAAAGTGGCATTTCTCCCAATTCAAGACAAGGTTAGTTTCTTCACATCTCTACAAAACTCGATCAAGGTTGCTTAAGCAATCACCAAAAGAGGATCCATAAACGGAGAAATCATCCATGAATACCTCGCATATCTTTTCATAAAAATCAGAAAATATAGCCATCATGCATCTTTGAAAGGTAGCAGGTGCATTACATAAACCAAAAGGCATATGTCTATAAGCAAAAGTATCGAAAGGGCAAGTAAAAGTGGTCTTAGATTGATCGTCAGCTGATACAGGTATTTGAGAGAAACCAGAATAACCATCTAGAAAGCAAAAATGTGTATGTTTGGATAATCTTTCTAGCATTTGATCAATAAAAGGTAAGGGGTAATGATCTTTTTTAGTAGCCTTATTTAATTTGCGGAAATCAATTACCATCCTATAACCTATAATAATTCTTTGCGGGATCAATTCATCTTTATCATTAGGAACGACAGTAATACCTCCCTTCTTAGGAACACAATGGACAGGACTTACCCACTGACTATCAGCAACGGGATAATTATACCTGCCTCAAGGAGCTTTTGTATTTCTTTTCTTACCACTTCTTTCATCTTAGGATTCAGTCGTCGTTGGTGATCAATAACTGGTTTGGCATCTTTTTCCAAATTTATTTTGTGTTGACATAGAGTGGGACTAATGCCCTTAAGATCATCAAGAGTATATCCAATAGCAGCACGATACTTCTTTAGAGTTTTCAATAATTTTTCTTCCTCCTTCTCTGAAAGGTTAGAACTAATAATAACAGGATATATATTCTCTTCATCAAGATAAGCATATTTAAGAGTATCAGGCAATGGTTTAAGCTCAAACACGGGATCACCCTTAGGTGGAGGAGGATCCCCTAAGATTTCAACAGTCAAGTTGTGTTTCAGAATAGGTCCCTGTTTAAAGAACACCTCATCTATTTCCCTTCTTCCATTGATAAACATATCATTTTCATGGTCTAGCAAATATTGTTCTAAAGGATCACGAGGAGGTACGGCAATAGAAGCAAGACCAATAATTTCATCTTTACTAGGCAATTCCTCTTCACGGTGTTGTCTACGAAATCTAGAAAAGTTGAACTCATGAGACATATTACCTAAACCAATAGTAACAACATCCTTTTTGTAGTCTATCCTAGCATTAACAATGTTTAAGAAGGGTCTACCAAATATAATGGGACAACAACTATCTTGTGGGAAACCAAGAACAAAAAAATCAGCAGGATATTCAGTTTTCGCACACAAGACTTCAACATCTCTAACAATCCCAATTGGTGAAATAGTATCTCTATTGGCAAGTTTAATTGTGACATCAATATCTTCTAACTCAGCAGGTGCAATATCTTGCATAATTTCTTTGTATAAGTCAATAGGTATTGCACTAGTAGCATCACCCTATCACACAAGCCATGATAACAATGATCTCCTATTTCAACAGAAATAACAGGCATGCCTACCACAGGTCTATGTTTATCTTTAGCACAAGGTTTAGCAATTCTAGCAGTTTCATCACTGAAATAAATAACATACCCATCAATATTATCAGCCAAGAGATCCTTAACAATAGCAATATTAGGTTCAACTTTAACTTGCTCAGGAGGTGTATAGGTTCTAATATTGCTTTTACGAACCACAATTGAAGCTTTAGCATGATCTTTTATCCTAACAGGAAAAGGTGGTTTCTCGACATAAGCAGTAGGAACAATAGGATCATTATAAGTGATAGTCTTTTCTTCAACTTTAATAGGTGCAACTACTTTTACTTCTATGGGAGGATGATATTTGAACCACTTCTCCTTAGGGAAATCAACATGAGTAGCAAAAGATTCGCAGAAAGAAGCTACTATCTCAGAGTCAAGTCCATATTTAGTGCTAAATTTATGGAAAACATCAGTATCCATAAAAGATTTAACACAATCAAACTTAGGTGTCATACCTAACTCCTTACCTTCGTCGAGATCCCAATCTTCAGAGTTGCGTTTAATTCTTTCCAATAAACCCCATTTGAATTCAATAGTCTTCATCATAAAAGAGCCAGCATAAGAAGTATCGAGCATGGTGCGATTGTTATCAGAAAGCCGAGCATAAATTTTTTGAATAATCATTTCTCT